TGAGGACCATTGTATTTGGGCAAAAGACAGTGAGGGAGTGCTTATCAGAGGCCGAGTATTAAATTACCGCTCCTCTGTTTTCTGGAGATTTTTAAAAAGCAGCCGTTGGAGCCCCCAAAGGGTCCTGACGTTCCGGTTTCCCTGGGTGATCTTTTCTAGGAGATCCAGCGAGGATGTGTGCGATTGCCTGCGCCTCGCTAAGGCACCTCAGGCGAGATCAAAGGAGCTACTTCAGGGAGGGAAAAGGGCAGTTTTGGGGCAAAATTACCTAGATGTTTACTCCAGTCTTGTGAAAGCTAATATTTCTGAGAAATGTTAATGGTTTGGGGGGCGGGTCAGAAAGGGGTGCAGGATGTGGGCTTTTGTTTGTTGTTAGGTGCCATGGTGTGGTGTGACAGAGTAGAACTGCTGAATAGGGTTTTCTTGGCTGTAAACTTTAGGGAAGCGGATTGCCAGGCCTTTCTCTCCTGGAGCTGCTGAGTGGGTTCTGCCCCATCTTCCTTCCGAGGAGTGGCTGGTAGGTTTGAACCTCCAGTCTTCTGGTTAGCAGTCAAATGCCTTAGGCACTATGCTACCAGAGCTCCCTTTCACATAGCAGCTGAGCATTTAACTGTTTTATGCTACCAGGGCTCGTTGGGTCTGGGCTTTGGAAAAGCAAAATCAGTGAAGAAACCAAGAAATAGGGATGCGTTTTGTGAATGGATCTTGAGATTATATCTTGACAGTTCTTTTATTTTAAATTCAGGGATATTGGAATAAAAAATGGACTGCTTTCATTTTAAAACAGCATTGTTGTTGTTATGTGCCATCGAGTCGCACTGACTCATAGTGGCCCCTCCTTGGGTTTCTGAGGCAGTATCACTGCAGAAGTAGATTGCCCAACCTTCCTTATGAGGAGTGGCTGGTGGGTTTGAACCTCCAGTCTTCTGGTTAGCAGTCAGATGCCTTAGGCACTATGCCACCTAAAACATTACTGATACAGAATTTATTTGCTGATAGGAAGAGGTGTGTGTGTGTGTGTGTGTAAAGTCCAGGCCATCTTCTGCTACTACTCACTCAATGGTCTTTTTCCATAATCTGCCTTGTCTTGTTGTCTATAATATATTCCATTACTGCTAGGGATACCAAGCCATCAAGGACCTCCTCACTCGGAGAGACTGCTGAGACATTCTGAGATGAAAGGCCTTTTTGTGCATTTGGGCCTTTGTGTTGGAATAGCTAGTCTTTGAAGAGCGGTCTTACCTGTTGGGAACTTTCCAGGGAATGGATGGGCAGTAATATTCACAGATGAGGGAACCGAGATGCAGAAAAGCTGCTAATTTGTTTCCTCTTCCAGCAGCACTCCTTTCATCTTGCACATGGGATGCCAGATTCCACTCTATGAAAATATTTATCTAAAACTGCACTTGAGTCACTCATGTGAAGAAGTTCACTTTTATTTCGTTCTTGCATTTCTCCCTATTTACGTAATGAGAAAAACAACAGCATCAATAACCAAAAAACTCCCTGACAGACAAAACAAAACCAACCCAAACCATGACCACTTGGAGAAAATTATACACTACTATTAAAGTGGACTAGGAACAAACATGAAAAATTATAACATGAATGATGTTGAATGAATGATAATGAAAGAAAAATGGTAAATAATTATGCGTCATCATTTCTGGGAAAATATGCCTAGCACTTCAGAACTATTTCTCATTGGCTGAATGTTGACATCTAATTAAGATGTTAGATCCTATTTCCTTTCAGTGTTTCATTCTTATAAATTCTTCTAAAAATCTCCAATTTTGTATAATGTAAACAGAAGTAATAAAGACTGGCCAATCATAGGCCACAGGGACAGAGAAGAGAATTTTAGGAATGCAAGGGAGGAAAATGCAATGGAGGCAAGAGAGAGATTTTAACTGTGTTGTCTGTTTCATGCTTTAAGAATTGAGATTCTGGGTGGAGGAATTCTGGGGGTAGAGATACAGTTTGAAGCAAGCTTTTGGGTATAGAGAGACCCTGGAGGGTGAGGTGGGAGTCTGTCAAAGCGGGAGTGAGTGTGGAAGGCAAAGGGAGGAACGGTTTGAATTCCTGAGCACTAAATTCTCAACTGCCCAGGAGTCTTCAAAGTCTCAAATCCTCCCATGGCAATTTCAGAACAACATTAATTTTAATTCACTTTAGTTACAAATATGTTTGGTATCAATGTCCTGACTGTAAATTCTAGGTTTCTCAGCATACAAAGAAGAAAGGCCCTCTGGATCTGCAGGTAATAGCAGAGTTCTCACTCAAGGGGGTCAGAGCCTGCTGGGAGAGGTGAGGGCAGGTGGGTGGGGCAAGGTTTGCTCTGTTTAACTCGGGTGTTAGCTTTGCTCTCCTCAGGGTCTTCTGAGTAATTAATCCACAAGGAGATGTGCCCTTGATCTCTAGCCTCCTAAGTGTAGAGCATTTAACTGAAGTGGCTTTATAGAGCCTTAGAGGCTTCTGATAACACTCTGCAAATACCCTTTTGTTGAGTTTAGCAAAACCTTCAAGTATTGAGGACAATACTCTCTGGCCTTGACTTCTGGATTCATGTTGAGGACTCTCTACTGCCCACAAGAAGTCTTTGCATAATCATAATCACAGCTCACACGTATTGAGCTTTTACTGACTACCAGGCATGTCTAAGTGTGTTGCAGGTTATTTATGTGTCATTTAATCTTCACCATCAAGGGAGGTAGGTGATAATATTTTATAGATGAGAAACTGAGGCTCAGAGAGCTTAAATGACCTGCTCAGGGTTGGTCTTGCAGCTAGTGACTGGTGGAGTGGGGATTCGGGCCTGGCGCTCTGACTCCAGAACCCGAGTCCTCAACTTACTCGGCTCTGTTGCGGAAAAATATTTAAGTAATTTTTGTGCTCTAAAGTGATCCGTCTTCATTGTTGAAGAACAGTTGATAGGGTTTACGAAAATTCATATTTGCTATAAAGTAGAAAAGTTTGCCAGTGGTTTATTAAGAAAAATACATCAATTGGAGCAGATGCCAGATTTTGGCAATAATGGTGTTATTCTCACTTGTGGTATGTTTTCAGAAGAGGGAAGGATGGGGAGGGAGAAAAGCAACTAGCTGGTGGACCAGAAATTATGCGTCCAAGAGTGTTTTGTGGGTTTTGATGGAAAAAGTTGGGAAGTCTGTCTCAGGAAGCAGGCCTGGGTTCTACTTTCTTTGTTTTATTACATCTTTAGAACCTCCCTAAAAAAAGAGAGGTTATTATCTTAAAGTTAAGAAAATCTAGGTTTAGGCAGATGAAGTAACTTGTCCAAGGTCACATCACTAGTAAATATGAAGTCTGCATTCAAACCCAGGGTTTTTCTAAGTCCAGAGCCTGGCTCTTCTGTGCTGAGCTTCGTGGCAGCACTAGGGGTACCTCTGCTGATCAGTTGCCACATGGATGCCAAGGGACCTTTTCAAAGAATTAAGAGACATTAGAAAGAATGCAGGAGCTTAATGCCAACTGTACACTAGCACTGTGCTCTGTACTTTACCCTGCTTACTTATAATCTCTTTCCAGAGATAGGTATTTTATGAAGTGAGATGAGAAATAACAGCATCAGAGACCAAAGTTTCATTGGAGGTAAGATGAGGTGAGGACCAGTGGTGTCACTAAGGAGGTAGAGGGACGGTATGGACTACACTGTGTGACACTGTCAGAGGGAATAACACCAAAATGACTGTCTGTAACATTTTTATGCAATGTCTCAGCAAAAATTTATTAATTTTTATGAACATACCCCTGTAGTTATAACATCAAAAACTTTTTTGTAAGCTTAGCTTACATGTATCAAAATACCTACAAACTAAAAGTCTATGCTAACTTACTTTTTGAGTCTTCTAGTGTGCTCTGGGAACTCTGGTGGCGTAGTGCCTAAGGCATTTGACTGCTAACCAGTAGACTGGTGGTTCAAACACACCAGCCACTCCTCAGAAGGAGGATTGGGCAATCTACTTTAGTAGTGATACCTTCTCAGAAACCCAAGGAGGGGTCGCTATGAGTCGTATTTGACTCAACAGCAGTGAGTTTGTTTTTTTTTTTTTTTTTGGTTAATGTGCTCCAGTCAGAACTGTCTTTGTTACCCAATTACTACGAAGCTTCAGATCACGTGCTTTCATCTGCACAGGCATGCTACAAGCACATTCGTTTTCTTTGCTGCTGGTATTTTTTATAGTCACTGATTTTGTCAAATTTTCTGGTGTTTTAGTTATAATATTGTGGTAATTAGTATTTGTGAACCCATATCAATAATTTTTTGAGCAAGGTCGGTGCCTCAAACCTACCAGCTGCTCCATGGGAGGAAGATGAGGCAATCTACTTCTGTAAAGATTTACAGTCTTGGAAACCCAATGGGGATCTCTGTGACTTGGAATCAACTCGATGGCAGTGGGTTTGGTTTTTTTTTTGTATATCAATAACTTTTTTGAGACTGAATTAAAGGTAAAGCAGGAGATAAACAAACAAACAGATAAATAAAAGGCTTCTGCTCAGTTACTAATATTTAACTAATAATGTTCTAATTCAATGTAGAAAGATTTTACAAAACAATTTTGTTGTTACTATTCATTTAATCTAAGAAATACTACATTTAAACAATTTACAACTATATTTATCATATATTATTCTATGCTTAATATTGATGATAAACATTACTAAGAATTCTGTTTGGTTGGTATGGGAGGAGGTCCATGGAGGGGGGGCAACACTAACCTAGTGACATCACTTGTGGGGACACTACTTTTTATAAGTAAATTTGATGATACTCCTTTTTGTACAAGGAAAGTGATGGTTGAGTGATAGTATTGTTGCCTTCCATGTGGGAGGTTTGCTTCCTGGACAATGTACTTCATGTGCAATCACCACTCATCTGCCAGTGGAGGCTTGCATATTGCTATGATGCGGAACAGGTTTCATTGGAGCTTCCAGACTAAGACAGACTAGTAAGAAAGACCAGGACCACTTTTCCATGAGCAATGATGTCTGATGGTGATAAAGAAGGAAAAAGCCTAGGGACAGGCGGTGCCAAGTGCCACCACAAGGTACTCTGTGACAACATCCAAGGTATCACCAAACTGCCCATTCGCTGTCTTGCTCAGCACGGAGGTGTCAAGCACATCTCAGGTCTTATTTAGGAGGAGACCTGGGGGTGCTCAAGGTCTTCTTGGAAAATTTGATATGGGATGTTGTCACTTACATGGAACATGCCCAGCATAAGACAATCACTGCCATGCACATGATCTACACACTCAAGCTTCAGGGATGCACCCTTTGTGGCTTCAGGGGCTAAAGTTGGAGTCAATCTTACCATTACTTTGTCATAAAAGGCCCTTTTCAGGGCTGCTCCCAAAAAAGAAAGAAAGAAAGAAAGACCTGGTGATGCATTTCTGACAATCAGCCAATGAAAACCTTTTGTATCAAAAATGTTCAAACCACAACCAATCAAGAACCTCCCTAAAAAGAGGGCTGTTATTTTAAAGTTAACAAGAATCTAGGCTTAGTGAGATGAGGGAGGTCTGGTAGTGTAGTGCCTAAGGCATTTGACTGCTAATCAGAAGGCTGGCAGTTCAAACCCACCGGCCACTCCTTGGAAGGAAGGTGGAGCAATCTACTTTTGTAGTGATACTGCCTTGGAAAACCAAGGAGGGGTCGCTGTGAGTCAGATTCAACTCAACGACAGTAAGCTTGGCTTGGCTTGGCTTGGCTTGGAGGGAGATGAAGTAACTTGTCCAAGGTCACAAGTTTTGATATGTATCAAAACTGTTCAAACCACACTGATCATGTGATTGGAGCAGGACTCAGCAGGGTTTTGTTCTGTTGTTTGTGGGTTCACTATGAGACTGGAGCTGACTTGACAGGCAGCTAACAAGAACAACAAAACAACTACCTCTACTACTTTGTATGTTGTTTGGAACAGCTTTCTGCTTTAGTCATTACACTTTTGAAATATTCCAGGCTTTAAATACGCTCTCACAGATATCTCATTTAATTCTCTCAGGCTTATTGGTCCATGTTAATATACTACTTGAAAAAGGGAGCTGAGTCTCATAAAGGTTAATTGAGTTGCCCAGGTAATGTGTCTGGTAGTTGTCTGGGTCATGGGTTGAGTCATGATCTATGGACCCCTAAACTGGTACTGTCTCCATTCCCGAGTATGAGAGGTTTTATCTCCCAAAGAGTTGTTGACAAATACTTGGTCATCAAGTATTTGCCATGCTTACACTGTGTGCTTTTATGATTCTGTGCTAGATTCTGCGTGGGGATACTGAGGAAGGATGATGATGCATAAGCTAGTTGGAGAGAAGACCTGACACACAGGATTCTGATGCTAGAAAAGGAGATTAAGGATGTCAAACATGGTCAGGGAAGGCTTCATGGAGGAACTGGAAGTAAGTGGGATTTTGAGAAAAGAAGAATGGGATCTTGATGAGGTGAAGACAAGAAGAAAGGGCATTAAGACTGAGGGACCAGCCTGTGCAAAGTCAGAGGGAAAAGTGAGGAGGCAATTTGCTGGTGGACAGTGAAGCCAAGAGGGTCTGAACTGGGGAGTATTTGGAAATGCAGGATGAAGCCAGATACTGGAAAGACTTGAAAACCAGAAAGAGGAGTTGAAATTTGGTGCCATAAACAATGGGCAAGTTTGACAGTATAAGAGTAGGGGAAAGTATAAGAGCATGATGAGAATGTTTAAAATATTTCTGCTTCATCAGTAACAGAGGAGGGTGAAGGACACAGCCTTCCCCTTGCTAAACCAGTTGTGTTCCCAGAAGGAAAAAGGAAATTCAGAATTTCCTTAGGAAGCAGGAGTGTTTAAGAGTGAAGGAGAGAGGGGAAAGAAAGTGATATAGAAATGGTCAGAAGTTGTGGACTGAAAACTACTGTTCAGAAATGGGTAAGGTTGCCTGAAAGGAAATGGTGAATCTAGGGTGGGGGGACTCACGTCCTGCAGAAAGAGGGCACAAAGAGACAGCTGAGAGATAAAGACAAGCTCTCAGGAGGCTGAGGGATGTTAAGCTGGTAAATGAGTTGTTGGTATGTAAAGCATACATGATTTTCGGTGATAAATAATCCTCAAAAGGAATTAAATATCATGTTGGCAAGTGACTCAGAACTCAAGTATGTTGGTGCTGTTGTGTGGGTGGCCAAGTTATGTTGAATGGGATGAAGGGGTTAGTATCTCATGAATGTGCATGGGAGGCAGACTGCCTTGGAGAAAGGGTTAATAATTAAACCATATGCACCACTACAATGGGGCCAGGCCTGATGCAGGATCCTGAGGCTGCCCACATTCTTTGCCTGTTCATTGGTATGTGGTCCACATGGGAAGAGCACAGGAAGCTCAGGACCACGGGTACTAAACAGCAAGGAATTTTAATTTTGGAAACAGTGAGGACAGGAAATTAGTGAAGCTCATTAGGAAAATCAATTTGGCATGACTTGAATGTGGTAAGGAGGAAGGATAAAGGTGAGGGAAAGGGAACTAGCGTTTTATGAGTGCTGAGAGAAATCCTTGATTCCTGGGTGAGGTTGGGTTATTTGCCCTTTTTACCAATGGGGAAACTGAAGCTTAGGTTAAATAATTGTTGAAGATGCTGCAGTGGAAAGAGTGGTGGAGTCAGGAGTCAAAGGGCACTCCTATTGGCTCCCAGATCTCTTCAGCCCCACACCACCCACTCATGTGGTAGCACTGACTGGCCCAGGTGGCCTCCCAGGGAGGGATCCTGAAGTTGCAGAAGAGGGAGCCCAATAGTGAGCTGGAGGAATACTGGCAGGCTCTGGGACAGGAAATAGGCCTAGATTCCACTTCTGATTCTGCCCATGTCAGATGACTATGTGGAAAGAGGCAGGAGCCAAGGGTGCTGGCCCCATGCCACCATTACCTGCTTGGTGACCCTTGCTGCATCTCTAACAGGGGTTAACAGCACCTTTATCTGGCAGGCAGAGGTGGACCAGATGACTTTTTTTGGATGCTGTTCAGCTCTAGGGTGTATGATTCTTTGATTTCTGGAGATTTGAAGTGATAAAGAATGTCTTTGTGTTCAGACAAGCTGGGCGCTAGGGCAGGATGTCACTCCTGCAGGCCACTGAGCATCAGTGTCTTTCAGTGCTCCATGAGCTTCCTCCACTCATCACTGTGGGGTGCCTTGGCCCTCCAGGCCCAGTTCTTTCCCACATATCCCACAGAGGCAGTAACCACAGTCCAGTTCTCTGTCTCTGCCTGAGTAGTTCTACTTCTTACTCCCTAGACGTCCTGTCCAGCCATGTCTTCCCTGTAGGGCCTGCCACAGAGCCTTCCCCACCATTCCTTTAACAAAGGCACTTGCGTCTTGGTTTCCTGTGCTCAACACTTCAGGGTCTCATCCCTGCTTCCAAGCCCTTTATCAGGATCCCCGGGATGCCCTCACTGCCTCAGCTTCTTCCACTCCCTGATCCTGCTTGCTGATTCCCTCAGCCGGGACTGCTTGGAGCCTCCAGTCTCATCTCCCTTACTTGGGGGCTGTGGCCCAGAAGCTGAGAGTGTTTTTCCTAAGACCAGGACTTCAAGCTATCTCGCTCCCATGACTTACTAAGCAGCACAAATGCCACCTCCATGAGAAAACCTTCCTATAGAAGAATGACACATTATTTCTTTCCATCTATTTAAAATAAGAGCTTCTGCAACTCTTAGTCCCGGTAGGCCTTTCCCTCAGCACTCTGAGCCCACTGGGTGCCCAGTGAGTATTGCTGACTAATTACAAAGATGACAAATGGGCGAGTTCCCAGAGGTTATCTAGCTCTTCTGAGGCTCCAGCCGTGGGTATCTTCTTATTCATAAAATGTACTAGAGAAAGCCTCCTTCCTTTTGACTATGGTAGGCAGAATAATGATCCCAGAACCAGAATATATCACATGATATTATGGGTTGAATTGTGTCCTCCCTTCCAAAATAAAAGACATGTTCAAATCTTAACCCCTGGTCCCTGTGAATGTGACCTAATTTGGAAATAGGATCTTTGCAGATGTAAGTAGTTAACATATGGTCATACCTGAGTAGGGTCAGACCCAATCCAATGTAAGTAGTCCTTATAAAAAAAAAGAAGGGACACAGAGGGAAGTTGGCCATGCAAAGACAGAGGCAGAGATTGGAGTGATGTTGCCACAAGCCAAGGAATGCCTGCATCTACCAGAAGCTAAGAGAGACAAGAAAGGATCTTCCCCTAGAGACTTTGAAGAAAGCATGTTCCTGTTAACACCCTAAATTTGGACTTCCATTCTCTAAAAACTATGAGAAAAATGAATTTCTGTTGTTTCAAGCCCAGAGTTTGTGGTAATTTGTTATGGCAGCCTTAGAGAACTAATGGATCTTGTTCCAAAGCAGAGAATACCAGACAGATGTTTACCTGTGTTTTATTGACTATGCAAAGGCATTTGACTATGTGGATCATAGCAAATTATAGATAACATTGGGAAGAATGGGAATTCCAGAACACTTAATTGTGCTCATGTGGAACCTGTACATAGACAAAAGAGCAGTTGTTTGAATAGAACAGGAGGATACTGCATGGTTTAAAATCAGGAGAGGTGTGCATTAGGGTTGTATCCCTTCACCATACTTAGTCAATCTGTGTGTGTGTTAGGGTTGTACCCCTTCACCATACTTATTATGCTGAGCAAATAATCTGAGAAGCTGGATTATATGAAGACGAACACAGCATCAGGCTTGGAGGAAGACTCATTTAACAATCTATGATATGCAGATATCATATCTTGTTTGCTGAAAGTGAAGAGGACTTGAACCACCAGTAAGAAGATGAAGATCAAAGACTGCAGCCTTCAGTATGGATTATACCTTAACATAAAGAAAACAAAAATCTCCAGAACTGGACCAATAAGCAACATCATGATAAATGGAGAAAAGATTGAAGTTGTCAAGGATTTCATTTTATTTACTTGGATCCACAATCAATGCCCATGGAAGCAGCAGTCAAGAAATCAAAGAATGCACCTACTTTAGTAACTAGCAACTGGGGTCTTGTCTTAAAAGCTTATGAACAGCCATCTAAGATGCAACTATTGGTCTCTTCTCATCCTGAGCAAAGAGGAGAGAAGAAAATCGAAGACATACTGTTTTGGTTCTCTAGTGCAGCTCTAACAGAAAATACCACAAATGAAGATGGCTTTAACAGGGATTTATTTTCTTGCAGTTTAGGAGCCTAGAAATCCAAGTTCAAAGTGCTAGCTCTAGGGCCTGGGGGAAGGCCCCTCGACCTTAGGCTTCAGCTCTGCCTCTTGTTCCTGGCCCACTGGAGC